AAAGCGTGATGCTACGTCACCGTGCGGGCGGGGGGAGGCGGGCTCACAGGCAGAGGAGCAGACTCTTCTCTGGATCAGCTCGTTTGAGTCGAGGTGACGTCACCTCTATACAAGAGATGGCTCTAATCTCACAAGCTTTGATTGTTGTGTGGTGTATCATACACATTAATATCACACATGTGTATAGGACTGAGTGTGAAACATGAAGAAAAGCGTGATATAGGACCTTTAACCATGCTACAACATTGTTCCCTCATCAAAAACATGCCTGTTGTGTTTAGATCCATCCGCGCTAACCAGGAACTTCTGGGACAAACATGTAACTCCGCCCCTTCTGTTTGAGTTCCGACTTCCCACTCTGAAAAATGGGAATGAACGCTGCTACTGTACTTAGGGCGGCATGGAGAGGTTACTACTCTTGTTTCTAAGTAAGAAAGTCCTGGGTTCAAATCCCAGTCAGAACAGGATCCTTCTGAATTAAGTTTGCGTAGGTTTCCTCCAGGTGCTCCGGTTTCCCACTACCGTTAAAAACAGCTCTGGCCCTGACAAAGCCGAGCATCATCTGGATAGACAGAGGACTTAGCAGCACTAATGATGGCTCTAAACAACAGTGAGAATGCAAAAGACAGGTGCAAATAATTGGGAAGATGTTTCTAAGAAAAAGAAAAGATCAAATAAAGTAAGTACCGGTAGTTTTGCGGGAATGTTTGTAGAATGTTTAGATTTACACGACATGGCCAAGTTTCGAAAGACAAAGCCAGCTCATTGTTTCCATGTAAATTGTTCTGCACAGACCGGAATCAAATTCACAAATGTTCTGATGCACTAATTTTACAGCTGCAGGGGTGCCAGAGCATTATTATTGTATTAGCCGTAATTTTCTACCACACATGCAACCCATTTGCAGATTATTCTAATTGCGGCCTTTGAGCTACACATTTTTCTATACTCTTAAAACACAAATACACAACTAGTGCATGTGGCGTTCTTATAGTAACTTGCATTTTCCACACATGTGAGCGTTGCTTTGCCTACTGCTTCTTCAGCTGCCTGTAAGACCACACAGTATTACAAACAACCACGACTGGAACGTAAACGAAAATATCTCACAGATTTTTTTGTGTGACGTCTTTTTTATCTGGACCTCGTGTCTGTAATGAAGTTTAGTAGTTTCCAATCTCCACTGACAGATGTATTACAGAATTAACATGGCACAATGACTATGACTATGTTCAAAAGTAGGTTGAAGACATATCTGTTTAGCTGTGCTTACAACTGATTCTATTTTTTACTATTTATTGCTTTTATCTCCTGTTTTAAATCCAAATTTTTACGATAGTTTTAAACCCTATACTTTTATGCTGCTCTGTTTTACTATGAAATGATTGTATATTTCACACATTTTGATCTGTTTTTTTAAAATTGCTCTTGTGATGCGGCTGCTGTGAATTGTGCTATATAAATAAATGAATAATTGATTGATCATTCATTTTGAAATAAGAGCTGGTATATTATTTCAGTATGTATGGCAAAACCAAACTGTTTAAGCCTGGATTTGAACATAGTCAGAGGAGAGGCCTGTTTCACATTCAGGAGGGCAGTTCCAGATTTTAGTTTTATGAATCTGTAACTCTGAAATCCTAGAAAGTGTGAGAGTCTGACTCCAGGAAACCAGCCCGAAGGCTTACTCAATCATGTTTGAACACATGAGGCCAAACAAGGACACAATCTACACCTGGAGACACAACAACAGTTTTCATCCACCTGCTGTAGCAACGGTGGCAATATCTGGCAACATCAAGCATCTAACAGTCTTTTTCAAAACAACTTGGTAAAGAACTATAGAAGTATTTCAACCTGGAGAGACTACAAGAGACGAGATGCGTTTAAGAGTTGTTTATTTTATGGATTGAGTTTGTTTATTGGTTTGGAGCTTAGGCCCCGGCTGTGGCCGTGCTCTGAAGAGATCTGCGCCTGGGTGCAGATCATGATCCCCAAAAAGAGAGCTTGGCTAGCGATGCGTTTACCACGACTTGGTTGCTGCGTTTATGGAAGGCGCATGGTGTGAGTGACTGTTTCCGTGCGCGAGCTCGGCTCTAGCGCTAGGCGTTGGCACGCGCACGAGCTCGGCTCGAGTGCGCGACGTAATGTCCGTGCGCGAGCTCGGCTCTAGCGCTAGGCGTTGGCACGCGCACGAGCTCGGCTCGAGTGCGCGGCGTAATGTACGGGCGCGAGCTCGGCTCTAGCAATAGGCGTTGGCACGCGCATGAGCTCGGCTCGAGTGCGCGGCGTAATGTCCGTGCGCGAGCTCGGCTCTAGCGCTAGGCGTTGGCACGCGCACGAGCTCGGCTCGAGTGCGCGGCGTAATGTCCGTGCGCGAGCTCGGCTCTAGCGCTAGGCGTTGGCACGCGCACGAGCTCGGCTCGAGTGCGCGGCGTAATGTACGGGCGCGAGCTCGGCTCTAGCAATAGGCGTTGGCACGCGCATGAGCTCGGCTCGAGTGCGCGGCGTAATGTCCGTGCGCGAGCTCGGCTCTAGCGCTAGGCGTTGGCACGCGCACGAGCTCGGCTCGAGTGCGCGGCGTAATGTCCGTGCGCGAGCTCGGCTCTAGCGCTAGGCGTTGGCACGCGCACGAGCTTGGCTCGAGTGCGCGCCATGCTGGAATGAGGAGTTACCACCACCAGGAGATGCATACGTACTTATATGAGAGGAGGCGCTGGGCTGCCAGAACGGATGAATGTGGTAGAGAACCGGGGGCCGAGCTCCTGGAGAGATGATTGAGGGAGTCCTAGGCGCATCCGCCCAAGTGGCTGCTCCTATCCGGAAGGAGTGGCGGATGTAGAGAAAGGAAGAGAGGTTACATGCAGGGAGCGCAGGTTTTGAATTTGTTCAGACCAGGGGGTCGTCAAGGGATTGTTTAAGGAGTAATTATAGTCTATGAATGTTGATAAAATGTCCATACATGTTGTAGAATGTAAAGTATCCTGGATCATCACCACGGGCCTTCTAGTTGGACACTAACTGTCCAGACCCTCCTGCATGGCAAGGAAAACTCACAAAACCCTGTGGGGAAAAAAGTGAGTAACCTTCGGAAGACCCTACATGAGAGAGGGATCCACTCCACGGACAAACAGGCTAGTCGTCCAGGACCTAAACTACAGAACAAGGACCATTGCCAATACTCCTTTAAGGATCTTCTTATGAGGGTGGAGCAGTGTGACTTGAAGTGGATTTTAGAGAATGTATTTAATGCCGATGTAGATGAGGCAGTGACAGCAGTACCCGCGATGCTGATGTCCAGAGACTGAGAGTGTGCAGTGAGAGGGAAAGGAGAATGCTGAATGAAAGATGAACTGCTGGTGTTTAGAGCGCTGATATTCGAACATGATTCCACTTGGGGAGACTAGAAGGTGAAAATGAGATTCATGAAGTACACTTTCCCAGGAAGATTGATGTTCGATAGGAGATCTCTGGACCCCCAAACACCAACGCACAAGGGCCCGTTCAGAATGAGGGCCAGGGTGCGTCAGGTAAGGCGAAGCGTGAGACAGGCCCGGCGGCAGGAGCCGCACCAGGAGACCAGGAGAGAATATGCCTGGGGAACATGAGAAGGAGCACCGCCTACAGCCACTCAGAGTGCACGCAAACCGTGGCGGGCAGTGCTGCACACCAAAAGCCAATGAGTGCGGCCTGGGGAAGATAGTCGGCCAGGTTTGAAGGCCACGCCGAACAGTACTCATGCAGTCTTAGCAGGCCAGCGTTGCAGCAGGCCACTGTCGCGGCGTCGTAGCAGAGCTTTGGTGCGGCGTTGCGGCATCACGTTCCTGCGAAGCTGAAAAGAGAAACCTCGAACCACTATCACTCGAGTGAAAAGGACCAACGGGCAGTGTCAGACCACGTCTTCAGTCAGACCACGTCTTCAGTCAGACCACGTCTTCAGTCAGACCACTGACCTGACCATGCCGGCTCTTCCCGTCATTGTGAAGCAGAACTCTCCAAGCGTTGGATTGTTCACCCACCAATAGGGAACGCGTGTCCATGGTCGACACTGGTCCCACGATGAATGGATGAGAGCACGCTAATGCGTCGAAGCGTGGCGTCGAGAATGCGGCAGGAGGCGGACACCGACGTGGCGTCAAACAGCGGCCACCGGCGTGGAAGCGTGCGGCCGCCGACGTGCGCCGGCGTCAAAGCGTGCGGCGTTGTTGAGGCGTGGTCGAGGCATGCGGCGTCGTCGAGGCGTGCGGCGTTGTCGTCGAGGCGTGCGGCGTTGTCGTCGAGGCGTGCGGCGTTGTCGTCGAGGCGTGCGGCGTCGTTGAGGCGTGCGGCGTCGTTGAGGCGTGCAGCGTCGTTGTCGTCGAGGCGTGCGGCGTCAAAGCGTGCGGCGTCAAAGCGTGCGGCGTGGAGGAGGAGTCGAAGCGTGGAGGAGGAGTCGAAGCGTGGAGGAGGAGTCGAAGCGTGCGGCCACCGACGTGGCGTCGAAGCGTGGGGCCACCGACGTGGCCCCACGCGTCGAAGTGTCGAAGTGTGGCGTTGAAGTGTGGCGTAAGGCCAAAGCAATGGGCAACGAACAGCACAGGGGGGCTCCGACCAATCAGAGCAGCTCATCAGACACGGACAGCCCGGAAGCAATGCAGTGGGCAAAACTTACAGTCCACGGTCAATTAGACAGAGCGAAGGCCAATGCAGACGACAAATGTTATAGTCCATGGTTACAACTGACAGCCTGAAGGTCAATGCAGTGGGTAAAATGTTCAGTCCATAGTAAAACGGACAGCCTGGAGGTCACTGCAGTGTGTAGAATGTTCAGCCCATGAGTAAAACGGACAGCCAGAAGGCCAACACAGTGGTTAAAATGTGCGGTCCATGCTGAAAACGGACGGTCTAAATTCCAGTGCAGATGGTAAAACGAACAGCCTGAAGAGCAATGCATCGGGTAAAAACACAGCTGCGAGCCAATTCGGCGGGAATAACTGACACGCCGCAGTTCAGTACAGTTCATGGTAGTGCGGAAAACACGAAACCGACACTGTAACGTGAGTGGAGGCAGGGAGAAGGGTGGACAGCGGCAGCAGACAACGGCAGGCAGACAGAAGTCCCGTTCCCGGTATGGAAGCGGCAGGGTGCGCGGAGTAACGCCTGGCCGCGAGCAGCAGCGAGTCCGCAGGAGAGGACCCGCGGTGGAGACACAGCGACCATGGCGCACAGCCCCCAACATGTGATGTGGAAGAGGAGCCGCGACCATGCAGGACGAACAATGTGCGAGGCGTGAGTAAACAAAGTGACGAAGAGCAACCCGTTGCAGCTTGAAGTCCGCTTGGTGAGCTGTGCTCTGCTGTTCTCTTAAACGCTGGCTTGATTGACACGGCTGCGGGGAGTTGATTAAGACAGGCTGAGTAAGGCGTGGTCAAGCCTGGTGTGATAACGTAGGTAGTCTACCATCCTGAACCTCCGCTTCAGCTGCATTTTAACAGGGTGTGTGTACTTCAACCTTCACTGTGATAATGGGCTCCTACATAATTTTAGCTGTTTTCAAGGGTCTTTGTGTACTTTAAACGCCATAGAGTTTTATGAGGAAATTGGCATCCAGCATTTCTTAAGAAGTGAGATTGTTCGTTTCCCCCCAAAACAAAGTCTTATTGTCTCATTAGTCAAATATTTCCAACAGAACTACAACCTTCCATTGATATTCCCACATGGCTTCAATATACACTGTGAGTGCATGGGTGAGGATTGTTCAATCGTCTCTTTGTCTACTTCTATTGACAGATTCATTACACACTAGACGTGTTTCTCATCTTTCCAGTATAGCAACAAGTCAATACACTTAAACACCAGAACTCCCAGATTTGTGAAACTTCTGCATTTTGACTGCTCCCTTTCAAACCAATCCAATACTAAGAAATTCCCCCAGTTTAATTGAAAGCAAGTAAGTCATACATTTATTAAGTTATACCGTGCTACAAATGGTGAATATAACTGATATACAGGAAAAAAAGTACAATGAAAAGGCTAGTTCTAAAGACCAAATGCTGCAAGTAAACAGTGTGTTGCTATGGTAACTAGCACTTGCTCTGCTCCGGTGGAAAACCCGTCCAGAACCAGCATCTTGAAAAAGGGTCTTCAACTCAGTGTTGCCAACTCCTCAGTAAGGAAAGTAGCTATTGGCTGTCCCAAAAGTCGCTAGAAGTCGCTAAATGACGTCATCGCCTAATTTGCATAATTGGCCATTTGCAAATAACTGTAACGGACGCTGTAGGAGAGAGAAATAAGGTCGTGGGAGAGACAAAAGTGAGTAAAAACACCCTAAATATGTTTAGAACTACAAATGTACAAAAATAATTTCAACATTAACAACATTTAATGATTTTAATGCTTTGTCTAGATCCACATTACACACATCAGTTTTGTCCTGTATTGTTAAATGTTATAACAGCAAATGTAATCAAAAGATTGTTATGTAGGGTGAAATTGCTAGCTCTACAACCAACCCTCCTCCTTTATCCGGGCTTGGGACCGGCAAAGTGACCCAAAAGACACACTCTGGCAGAGTTACTTAGGTTTATTTTTGTAAGTTTTTTTTTTTTTTCATAGTTTGGCATAACAAATGATTTAATGTGACCCACTACTGAGAGAAAACAGAGTCACGGACAGAGCTGCCGCGGATGGAGTGGGGGGTAGTGGGGGGTGGCGGTGGTAGGAGTGGCCGGGGAGCTTTGGATGTGTGGTGGTGGTGGAGCTGAAGTTCAGTCTGCAGCAGCCTGAAAACTTCCTGTGCTTTTGAGTCTCCTCTCTCTCTCTCTGCTCCGCCCATAGACTGTAGCTGGGACTGCTGCGCAAGGCTACTGTGAGACTGGCCGCCTGTAGTGCTTTGGGACGGGGGAGGGGCTCACGTTGAGGACAGCAGAACAATACGTGCTTCACGAGTCTCCAAAACACCAGATAAGTCGCCAAAACACCAGATAAGTCGCCAATAACACCAGAAAAAGTCGCTAGATTTGTCGCTAGTCGCTTTTTTGAAAAAAAGTCGCTATAGGGGTCTGAAAAGTCGCTAAATCTAGCGACAAAGTCGCTAAGTTGGCAACACTGCTTCAACTGCCCTAGAAAGTTGGTCATCAAGAAACCGAAAATGGCAACATTTGAGGCCCTGTTTATACGAAGGTGCTGCGCTTGTGTTGTGTTATAAAGTTCCACTGCCCACTACTGGCCGGTTGCTAGAACTACATTGTTTTCCGCAGTCATCTAAACGCTACTCAGGAGCCCGGTCGTTTTTGCTAATTGCTTTGTTTTGTCTGTGCAGCGTCGCCGTCTAAACAGGGCCTGAATTTTACAGTAACATGAATGGAGCAGTCAAAATAACATAAGATAAGATTAACGTTATTGATCTCACAATGGAGAAATGTAAACTGACTGAACTACTCACATTTCAAAAATTAAACTTAACCACCAAAATAAGATAACAAACCATTTCATATAGATACAAGTCAAAAAGTTATGAAGATCACAAATCTGCCAGAATCATTACCCCACCAAAACTAAAAGCAGTCAAATCGAGTGCTCTGAGAGTTCTAGCTTTAACTCAGCGTGTCTCAACTTCCCCTCATGTACTGCCGTTTCATGTCACTTATTAGGCGTTGGACCAATGTTTAATACTTTTACTCACCTCCCATAAACTAATCTCAAGACTCTGAGTCAAAACTTCCCTGAAAAAGAGCACTCCCATGTTGTTTACATCTGTCTGGCTGTGTGCATTGCCATGGCGTTTCCCACAATAGCCAAAGGATACGCTCTGATGACTTTCTCTCTCGTGCCAACAGCAGGTTAACATACTTCTCTTCAGCATTGGCATGTCCCAACAACACCTCAATGCATCAAAGCTTCTTCGGATATCGTTTATTCATCTGGCCCCGGGACATGAACTCTGTAAATACAAGCCAGCGTTCATCCCTGTACAATACTAGCAGTATGCTGAAGGCAAGCAGGTCTGCGAGAAAGTATCAGTCATAGTCAGTGTCATGGTGTGGATCGTTTTTTTGGTAATTGGTTCTTGAAGTTTTATTCCCTGTCCTGTTCGCCTGTTGATTGTTTGCCCCTCCCTATTGTGTTTCACCTGTGTCTCCCTGTGTGTATCCTTTGATCTCGAAGGACTTCGAGATCAAAGGATACACACAACACACAACTTGCCAACATAGATCAGAGAATCAAACAGTTCAAAAAATAGGAAGTGCTATGATGAAAAACACTTGGTCCATAAGGGGCAGATGACCAATGTCCATAAATATTGGTAAAAGCCCTTAAATGTCGTTGAATGTCGAGTGTCCTGGATCATCACCACTGTCCTCAGCCCCTCCTGCGTCTGCAAGGAACAACTCTAATAACCCAGTGAGAGAAAAGGAGAAACATTGGGAAGGAACTTCATCGAGGGAGGGATCCGCTCCCACGGACAGACGGGCTGTGGATCCAGGACTCAGGCTGTAGAACAGGGACCAAAGCCACGCAGGACTAAGGCGGCTCCTTGGCTGGGACGGTAGGGGGTGCAGCCCATGAGTTGTTACTGGTCCTTTAACAATGTCTGTCCATGTTCCTGGTTCTGTTTGGATCTTTTTTACCTTGTACATTTTATCCATACAATCATGTAAATCATTTATTTTGGTATTCCTCCATTTTGGGTTCTTCCTTCATGTCACCACGGGACAGCCAGTGGATGTCAGCATGGTGCATGGGTTTGCATCATCTACATTTAGACTCAAAGCCTCGCGCCAAATATAGGCTCCGGCTGCAGCCAGGGACATTAGTCCTGCTGGAGAGAGGCTTTACTTCATGCTCACTGCTGCTACAGACAGGTGTAGAGCTGTGCTTCGGCTGTTAACACGAAAATGAATGTTGTTTTTGTGAGCTGCAGCGATCACACAAGTCATAAACAGATACCAACTCAATATTTATCATAGGGCTGTTATAGACCTTTATTCAACCAGGAAAGTCCCAGTGGGCAGCACAGTGGTGCAGTGGTTTGCGCTTGTGCTTCACAGAAAGAAGGTCCTGGGTTTGATTCTACCTCCAGATCTTTCTGTGTGGAGTTTGTATGTTCTCCTCATGGATCTATAATAACTGGATAGGGTATTACTAGCTTATAGCTGTCCCATCCGTGGTACTGCAGACTAAATTAACGTGGGCTACCCAGAAAAAAGTCCCATAGAACTCAATGTAAATTAAAACAGGTCGACCTCAGCTGACAGAGAACCTACAGCTTTTGTAAAGATCGGATTTTGTGGGGATTTTATTGTCCCTTGTGATCCTGAACTTTTTTTCTTTGGTTTTCTTTAAATCCCCACTTTACTGCCACAAACTCCGCTCGTTTCCTTCCCGCTCTGACTCCGCTCTAGCTCCGCTCTGATCAGCAGCTCTGATTGGTCAAAGCGCGGCCGAGCCCCTCTGTGCACGTGCATGAGAGCCACGCATCATGGGAGCTCGTCCACTGCGCAGAACTAGGAGGACCAGTCAATGCCCAAATATGGGCGAGTTCTGCTAATCTCCATTCATTTGAATAGGGCGCCATCTTGGATCTCCAGGGCTTGGTTCTCCCTTTGTACGCGTTTCCACCGATTGCTCTAGTTTCTCCTACCACTAAAACATGTACAATAAGTCTGGCATACACCTCCTGTACAGCGACCCCTCTCCATCTCTGAGTGGAGTGTGAGGACAAATGCCCACAACAATTGTACAGCACTATAATAAAGATTACTTTCTTACTACTACACTGCGACCCCATGGTTTTAGTGGTTGAAGAAACCAAGGAAACCGGGGCACACAGAGGAAACCCTGAAGACAGAGAGAACATGCAAACTCAACTCAGAAAGGCCCTGTCTGGAGGTGGAATCGAACCCAGGGCCTTCTTGCTGAGATGGGAAACTCAGCTGCCACGACGCCCAGGAGCTGAGACATAATCCATAAATTATTATATATATATATCTCAAAATATATATTTGTAATAAGTGTACTGCGACTATAAAAGTGTGGGTGATGATTGTGTAGCCAAATATGTCCTGGGGCAGACTGACAGAAGTAAGGCTGCCACTCCAACAACCACCATTAGTGTAGCGCAGTAGGCGGAGACAGGAGGTCGGTGGAAACAGACCTTTCTCAACATCCAAGCCACAAATGCAGCATGGCAGGCCAACGGGATAATGTATAGAAAAACATAAATCACTTGGAATAGAAGAAG